ATTTACCAGCATACTACTGTATCAAATCTTTTCCTTATCTTGGAGAGGGAGAGGGGTGCCAGGAGGGGTGGGTAGGGAGCAGGCTTCTATCACTCTAGATTCTATGTGGCCATTAAATTATGGAAAATGAATGAAAGGAGGAGCTATAATGCACAATGCTCTTAGCTTTGGTTTATCTATATTTCTTTGGAGCAAGATGAAATAGGTTTAATACAAGATTTTAAATCTGTTTTCATACCAAATATGAAAATAAAAAGTATTTGAATATGAAATCTTTTTTTTAGTAGCTACATTGTATTTGGTGACTTGCCTTTAGACTTAAAAACCTTTTCTAACAATTTTATCCCATTTACAAAAAAAGGCTAAATAAATATTTTCAAAGATTATGGCAAAAGCCCTTTAACTAATCTGTGGAGTTGACAATTGAGATATGATTTTTTTTCTATAAGTGATTATTGAATTTTGTAGTAATGAAGGGAGGGTAGAATGCATAGTGATACACAAAAAGAGTTAAGGAGTATAATCCAAGACTTATATCTTGAAGCAGGCATTATCTTAGTTTTTTCCATTCGAATCAACAGACAGCCACAGTTGATATATTAGAAAAGCTTTTCTGGATCACAAGTGTTTGCCTGTGCTTTATTTATGACTTACTGAGTTATTCATTGAAAATTAGTTAGTTATTTTTCAAAAATAACTTTTTCTAATGGCATCTTGCTTTTATTTCAATATTCTATATTTTCTAACTTTTAAATTATCATGAAGTTCCTTATCAGAGTCTTCTTCACCATTAGCACTCAAACTGAAGCATTAGCATCCTATTTATTCAGCATCTTAGAAGAAATATTTTTCTAAATAACTTAAATCTTCTCCCTTAAAATTCTAAAACCTTTTTAAAATCATTTTCCTGAAATCCTTTTTAAATGCTTTAAACATTTTCCTTATTTCTTAAACTAAGAATTTAAACGTTCCTTGCTAAGATAGGGCCAATCATTTTCCTGTAATGCAGAAACAACCATTTTTGTCAGCTTCTTAATTTTGTTTATATCCTTAAATGCCAAACTGCAAAATGACCTTTGTCACTGGTCTGGTCGTTGTCCTGGCTCAGCTAGTCCTGCTCTCCTCTCCCCCTTTATCCTCCTGAGTAGTATTTATTTAGTATTGGCACTGAAATCCACTCACCAAACTTGTTTAGAGTTACACGTTAGATTCGATTTTATTAAGGTTCCAAGTGAGGGTGTGAGAAGTAAAATTTCTTCCCTTTCAGGACACTTTGTTGTGGTCATATCACGCACTTGGTTTTCTCATCTGGAATATGGGGATAATGAAATCTATTCCAAGGGACGGCTGTGAGAGGCAACAGGAAAGGCACATGAAGTTGATCTGTAGGATGCACAATGCTAAACCAACTGCGAGGCTGCCTCTGGAGGCAGGACCACTGCAGATCCCACTGCTGTGGGAGTTCAAAGCCACTTCTGCTTCTTCTTAGGCAGCATGCAGAGGGCAAGTTTCTCCTCCCTTAGAAGAAGAGCCACCCAAGGAATTCTAGTAAACCTTTGGGTGTATTTATCTATCTAATTGGTTTATAGTTAGATTGATTAAGGAGAACTGGGAAGAAATTAAACTTTTTGCATCTTAGTTTCTCTGCTTTTAAATATAGAGTGGTACTTTAAGCCTAAAAAATGTTCATATCGTTTGACTAAGTAGTTTCCCTTCTAGGACTTAATTCTAAAGAAATAGACATAAGAACAAAGATTTATGCATAAATGTTTTTCATCACACCTTCCTTCTTTTTTTTACAACGGTCAGCGTAAGAAGCCTTGGCTGTGTCCCAGAAAACACAGTGCACCAAGGTTTGCAGATATTGGCTTGAATTTATTTAAATCGTCATGGGATGCCTTTCTTTGTGAGCAGATTCCAAAGATTCGTTGCATACCTAAGTCTTTGATGGATGTCAGCAATGTAAGGGTACACTGTACTTGAAGGGGTCGAAAGTACGTACAAACATCAGCAGATAACAGTGCTGGATATTATGATTTAGCTTCCCTGCATTTTAGATCTTACAGACCTAAACACATCCTTGATTCTGGCTATGTATATTCCATGCCATTCTGTATATGAACAAAATACTGCATCAGGCTGTGTCCTCTGAGAGCAGACATCAAGACAGAACTAGCCATGTAAGAGATTTATTGTAGGAAATGCTTGTGAAGGGGAAAGAGAGCAGGAGTAGGCAAGTTGTTGAAAAAAATGAACCAAGGCAGTCTTGTATAATTTCCCACAATCTGGATTTTGTTGCTTGCATCCCAGTGGTATTATTTAACATGTTCCTTAAAGTATCTAAGTATCAGATCTAGAGGCTTAATCACATTAGAATTTAGCTTGTTTGCTCCTTCCCTTCCTCCCGTCCCTCCCTTCCTTCCTTCAGCTCTTCATAGGTGGTGGTGTGTGCTTGCGTCAGGAAGCAGATAATGTCTGGTTATCTCGCTTTTTTGTGTGTAATGTTAGCAGCTGTTGACAATTATTACACTAGATCCATTAATTCATTAGGGCTTGCAAATGCTGATATTCTAATTATTCCTGTCTTCACTTATTAGCTAGCATACTTTTATATAGTGAAACCTCCCTTTGTTAGCTATTTGGTTGCTTTGAGGTTTAGTGCAAATAGGAAAGGTAAGATGAATGCCAGATTCTTTTCTTTCTTTTATCATTTTTCAAAATTATAAGTTGGTTCCTTAGCATTCTCCAAAGGTGAGAAATGGGAGTTTTTATTTGTTTATTTAGTATTATCATGAAATCATGGATTTAAGCCATTGCACTTGTTATTTTTGGTAATCCAATTGTTCCCTTTTGGCCAGTGGGAGTTTATATAGGTAGGTTCCTGAGCCTTTTTGTCACAATCCTAGTAGTCTTTGATAGCCTCCTTGCTTTCTGGTATGACTTGCTGGTCCAAACCCGTCTTGTACATTTCCTGCCCCAGATCTGGAATAGGTCATGAGCCATGGTTCATTTTAGGGGGAATTGATTGTTTTGAAACCACAATCTGGGTGTTGGGAGTGTTCATTGCTACTAGGTAGGTTATTATTTTTAGGCCTTTTCATTGGACAGGACTAAGAAATATGTATTTTTTAAGATAGACTATATCCAGAGATTCTATCGATAATTCCAATTCATATTTAGGACTACAAGATTTTTACTTAATCTCATTGTTCTTACATCTGAATTTTCTTATCACCATGCCCCAAATTCTGGTTCTCAGTGACCACCAGCCTGATTACTCACTTGCTTAATCCCACACTACATACATAATAGCCTCAAAATAACAAAACTAATACTAGCACCAACGAAATGATTACTGAACAAAATGTTTACAGTTCTTTTTTGTCTTTGGGATATATATCATTGGAAATGAACTATCAAATTACTGGGTTTTAAAGTCACTTAGAATGGTTCCTCTCCTCAACCACTTGTATACATATTTAGGTATTATTTGTATCATTTTATTAATCTTATCCCTGGTGTCATGCTTATTTTTCTTTCACCCTAGTATTCTAACTGATATTTTTTCTTCTTGAAGTATGTTTATATTTGTAGTCTGCTTCATATTTTTGGTATTAGGAGTATAAAGATAACTAGGTATAAGATAACATTTGAAGTACAAAAAATGTAGATTTAAAAATAAGTGTGTACACACATATATTTTCTTACTCTGTGAGCTGAGAGGTCTTAGAAGCAATAACACCCCAGTAGCAAGAGGCACGCCTAGAGCCCAGATCTTGCTTTCTAATACCGGTCTCGGATAAAAGGAACCAAGGCTCATTGGAGATATGGCTGATTCTAGGGCTGGGAAGAGAAGACAAGATGAGACTGGAACATCTTGTAACACCAGAAAGTAAGGAAGTGCTCAAACACACACACACACACACACAAAATGATGGGGGCATGTCAAAGGTACACAGGAGCCAACTGAAAGCAACAAAATAAATATCGTAGGATTGGATTATAACCCAAAGTATAAAACAACTATCTATGAGTCCATATTGATATAAGTAAATGATTGAATAAATAAATAAATGGGAGAGAAGAGACAAATCTCCTGTGCAGGAGAATTCCAAATAATTTATGTCGATACTCCACTCTCAAGGAAGTAGGACACATCTCCCTACTCCTTAAGTGTAGGCTGTGTATAGACTTCCTTCCAAAAAGTACAGCATGGAAAGGGGGAAAAAGAGTAGGTTTACAGTGGAGAAACTTGACAAACACTACCTCAGCCAGGTGATCAAGATTAACATCAGCGATAAGTCATGTTGATAGCATGCACCCTTGATATAATGTTAATCCACATTTTCTCTACTTTTCTGGTATTACTACTCAGTTTTAAATCTATCTTTTATGAAAGTTTTGATTTACAGGTGAAAATCTGTTCTCAGCTTTGAGCCAATGAATAAAGTATGAAACATGATTCCTACCTTTGGTAATTTTGAGTCTAGTGGGGAAAACAAGATCTAAGAAGCAAGTAATCCAGAATAAATTATAAGAGGTGATTATAGGGGATTTTTAAGTTGAGAAAAGCACAGATATATGGAGGGCTGGTGTAGCCAGGGGAAGTTTCCAGGAAAACATACTCTTCTGTTTATATAATCAGGATTTCTGGAAGAGGAACACAATAAGGGTTGATTTAGGAGTTCAACAAATGCTCTTAAATATGATCTCATTATCACCATAAAACGAAATAGATATTTTAAAAGTTATTGCATTTTGTCAACCAACCTTATGATAGATAATAAAATTATGATATATAATGTAATATGGAATAGATTATAAAATTGGTGGCTTAATTAATCACAGTGTGGTCAGAATTTATTAGAAAGACAGCAAAATCAATAGATTATGCGTGATGCCCTGCATTCATTTTATGTGTAGACCTGGTTAAATCTTGGATGTTTCACGTTTAGATGTTAATATGTTCCTCGATTTTATTTTCCTTTTTTTCCTTTTAGGATTATCTGCCGCCAAACTCTTAGCTGAACATGAAGTTAATGTTTTGGTTTTGGAAGCCCGAGACAGAGTTGGAGGAAGAACATACACTGTGAGAGTAAGTGATTCTAATACTTACATAAAATATCTCACACAAACTAGAAGGGGGTCATTGGAAGTCGCAGAGCTAGAGGAGATCAGCAGAGTTCATGCAGTTAAGACATTTGTCCTCCATAGCCCTAAACTACTCCATCAAATAAGTGTCTGTTCTTTTCAACAAGCACTCATCGAAAAATGACAGCCTCTCTCCTTCAGTAGCTTATATTCTAGTGAAGAAAACAAACATGAACAAATAACTTCAGTACAGTGTCATAATTTCCATACTAGAGACCTAAATAGAGTATGTAGTGTCTCGGGTGGAGTTATGGTTTGGCTGGACTTGAAGTGACCATACACCCACAACATGCACGCACGCGCGCACACACACACACACACAGTATAGGTTCCTTGTTTATTTATCCAAGGGTACACAACTTAAAAGAAGTGTGGCTATAGTAAGCAGAAGTAAATGTAGCATATTTCTGTGCAACTTTTTCCATGGTGCCCATTCCCTAAGAGGTGTGCTGCTGCCAGAGACACTCCTTGCTCAGATAGGGTCGGCTAGACATTAGAAGGAAGCCCAGTTCTTGCTACATCACTGCCTTTTTATACTTGAGCTTACATCACCATTCTGGAAAAAGGCACACTTGTTGTTTACTACTGTTCAAGGAAATGGTTGCAGGTGGTTGAATGTGTGGGACCTGATGAAAGTATACAAGGAGACAATGTAAGGTGGGAAGGAAATAGGGCCAAAGATGAAAGTTTGGGGAGCATGCAGATTTAAGAGGGGGCAGGGGCAGAGGAACCGGAGAGAGGCAGTAGAGGCAGAGAAGGAGGACCAGACTAGAGGAGTGCCATGCGAATCAGGAGAGGAAAGTGGAAGGAATGGTAAACAGAGTCAAATGCCATGGGCATTTGACATAGGATGAAGGCTGAAAAGAGGCCCTTGTGTTTGGCAGTTAGAAAGAAGGCCATTAAGAAACCCTTTGCTAGAGCACACAGATAGAGTGTTAAAGGCTGACGATTGGCAGTAAGGACAAAACCAGACTGTTGAAGTGACTGGAAGGAGAGGAAGCATCTATCTAATTAGAAGATGTGTCAGACTTAGAATGGCTTATGCAGTGATAATAACAATGGCTTAAGCAATACAAACGTTCAATTCTTTTATATAGGAAGAAGTCTGTTGGTAGGTAGTCCAGGCTGGTGCAAGGGTTCAGCTTTGTTATCAAGGCTTTACGCTCTTTCTGTCTTGCTGCTCAGCCATTGTTTGTGTGTTGGCTTATTGCCTAGTGGTAACCAGATAACTGCTGCAACTTTAAGCATCAAGTCCTCTTATTCAAGGCAGGAAAGAGCATGGAGAGGTGGCCCAAGTCTTAGCAAAGCTTTTGTTTTACTAGAAGACCCTAGCAGACATTTGCTTTAGTCTCATTGACCAAAGTTGGGGCACATAGCTACCCTTAGGTGAGAGGGAGCCTGAGGAAGCAAGTATTTAGCATTGCCAGGCTGCATAATAGAAGTAGGTATGGGAAAGGGAATATGAATGGATATTGAATAGCCAACCAACAGCATCTGAACTAGGATATTATACCAGCTCTTTCAGTCACACCATACCATGCTCCCCTTCTGTCATTCACTTTCTACCATTTTAGATATACAGGGATGGATCGTAGGCCTATTTTCACTTTGCTCAGCTCTAAAAGTATTCTACAGCCTTGCTATTCAAAGTGTCCTGTGGACCAGCAGCCTTGGAATCACCCAGGAGCTTGATAGAAATGCAGAATTTCAGGCCCTGTCCCAGACGTGCTGAAACTGAATCTGCATTTTGACAAGATGCCTAGAGGATACTGTGGAAGTGCTGCTCTATGGAGTATGTTTGCTTGTGTCGGGGAAGAGGGAGAATCCCCCTTCGCCCTTTCACTTAAGGTTCTTCTGTATGGCCAAATAATTAAAAGACAGGTTAGCAGGATTTAATAATACCAAGTTTAATAACATGTATACATGGGAGAAACCAGGGAAACTGAGTTTCTCAACAAAATGGCAGAGATTCTTGTCTTAAATACTATCTTCACCTAAAGACAAAGGAGGATGTTGGGGGTGGGTGGTGTTTTGGGATTTCAGACCAGAAGAAGACAATTTACATGAAGAGGGAAATGTAAATGTTTGTCAGACAATGCTTTGCAGGGCCGCCTATAGAGAACGTGGCCAGAGAGACAGGAATTATAGTAATCAAGAGTATGTAGATTTAAGGCCTTTTCCTCCACACTGATAAGTTTCTAGAGAGGCCATCCCCCCTTCCCCCCAGAGAGGGAGATACCTTTACAAATGGAGATTTCCCTTATAAATGTAAATGTTTGTCTGGCAACTCCCTGCAGGGCCACCTAGAGAATGTGGTCAGGAAGAGACAGAATTTTTGAAAAGAGGGGCCCGTTGGTGCCTTTCCTATTGTAACATCTATTTTACATTATATTACAGCCATCAGATGACAGTAACTCCTTCCTGGGACAGGTCTTCTATGTTAAATTCTTTAGGTAGTTAGTGGGGAGGTCACATGTCCATCAGAGAAAACAATCAAGGTAAAGAGACATATTTCATGGTGGCCAAATCATGATCTCCCACACTTGCTTGCTTTAAATTAATGTAAATCCAGATTAATTGCATTTGGAGAATTTCTGAGTACTTCCTCAAATGTAGTCCACTGGGAGGCTGTTGGTCTTGGCATGAGGAGACTGGGATTCTGGCCCCTGTGCTGGCCTGACACACTGTCTTATCTTGGGTAAGTCCTATTAGCACTTTACATCTCAGTTTTCTCATCTGGGCAATGAGATACATACAATCTCTATGTAGTCAAAGAAGCTCCTTTCCAACTTCGAATTGTAATTGTAGGCATTGTGTTGGAGTGCAAAAGAAGGATTGCATATTCTGCCTGTATGACGTATTGGATATGATTCTCTTGTCATTTTCTGAAAAATATTCCTTCATTTTGGAGATAGTTATTAAGTTGTTCCGTAGCCCTACTTTTCTTATCTCTAAAACCTTTTGGTTATTAAACAGGAGCATCAGTCATGTTGCAGATTTTCACTTAAGAACAAATTTCTTTGTATAAGGGAAATGAGAATTCCAACATGCTTGTCCTCATCTATGTTATTGCCCCAGGCTGCTTTCCATGCTGCATTATTTATATATGTCAGCACCATATAGGAAATACTGTCTATTGAACAAGGTATTATAACTTCCCATAAGTATGTGAGAAAAGAACTTGAAATGCTTAGAAACTAGGACTTAACATTTATAAGATTTCAAATGAATAGAAGGAGAAGAAAGGGCTTTAAGAAACAAGGACAGAAATGGTATTTAATAAAAAACTGAAATGAATATTGTTAGAATTGCTTCTAATAGCATGGTCAGTTAGGATAATTTGGAATGGAGATGTCATAAAAATTATTCTGGATCTTTAAGTATCAAAATGTCAAATTTGGTATTGTTACTTGGCAGCTGTTCAGATAGATCTTCTATTAGTTTAGAACTTCCCATTTTTTCCTAGTGTGATTCCTCTATAATTCTTCAGGATCAAATTAATGAAGTTGAAATGCCTGCGGGGCTACCACAGGGATGGTGTATTTGTTTCCTAATATAGTTGCACGTTGGTGACCTTTTCAAAGGCTGAGTAATGAGATGGAAATCAAGACCCTAAAGACTGAGATGCAACAAAGCAGAATATGGTATTACAGTTCTAGTATCTTCATGCTGAATCTGAGGCACCTCCTTTAGAATCTTTCAACTTTATAAAGAAACATTCTGTAAAATGCCTCACACTTTTTACTACTTCACTTAGGATTTTTATTTTAAAGATAGTGTCAGTGTTCTGAAGAAATCATGTTTGGAAACTCCCAAGAGTCCTCTTGCTGTCTTTGTTAAAGCCTGGAAATTTATTGGAGTACTGACTCCAGTTTTGTTTTCATATCTTAGAAAGGATGTTGGACACTAGAGAAGGTTTGGAGGACAGCACCAATAGTTAGTAAAAGGGAATGTAAAGATTATATGAGGAACAGATTAAAGAAGTCAAAGGAACACTTTGTTTCTGGTATTATGGCAGAATGGAAAGCCTGATTAACTCTCCCCATTGAAATAAGTAAAATGCTGGATAAAATATACTGTGCTGCCTTGATATGGAAGTTAGAAATTTGCAGATCTCCTGGAGGTTGAACAGATATCTCAAATTTAACACATCCAAACTGAACTTCTGATCCTCTTCATCAAGACTACTATTCTCGCAGCCTTCCCCATATCAGAGGATGGGAACTCTGAAAAACTCGGAGTCATGCTCAACGCCATCAGGCCCCACATTCATTCTGTCAGGAAATTCTGTTGGCTTTGCCTTCAAAATATATCCAGAATTCAACACTTCCCACCACTTCCGTGGCTACCACTTGGTGGGAGCCACCATCATCTCTAGTAATCCTGCAGATTACTGCAATAGCCTTCTAACTGGTTTCTCTGCCTTTACCCTTGCCACCTATAATCTAGTTTTAGTGCAGCAGCCAGAATGAACCTTTCAAACCTAAGTCAGATCTTGGCACTTCTCTGCTCAAAACCTTCCAAAGGCTCTCCTTCTCCCTCAGAGTAAAAGCCAGTGTCCTTACAAGGCCCTGTGAGGCTTTCCATGATCTTCCCCCCAGTAACTTCTCTAACCTCATCTCCAATTCTCTTTTCCTTGCTCACTCTGTTCTGGCCACACTGGCTTCCTATTTCTTCAACACACCAGGCACATTTCTGCCTTAGAATTTTTTCATTGGCTCTTCCTTCCGCCAGGAATGCTCTTGTCCCAAATATGCGTATAGATAACTGCCTTACCTCCTTCAAGTATTTATGCAACAATCACCTTTTCAAGGAGGCCTACGTGTCCCTTGTATTTGAAGCTGAAATCTTCTCTTCTCTCCTCTGCAGTTTCAATCTGCCTTGTCCTACTCTAGTTTTTTTTTTCTTTTTCATTGTCATTATCAGCTTCTAAGATACTTATTT